CCCAGCAGTTCCCTGTTTAACCAAGCAGGTTAAAACCTGTACAATGTATGTTTTTATTAGTCACTTTCTTGAGGTCTGGCAGATGACTTTAGGACTGGCAGACAATTTTACCTCCTATGAGAGAGGTTTATCTTTCTTGCAAATGTATTCTCCAGTGACAATAAACAAACACTCATTACCTAGTATTATGCTAGAGTCATTTGCATGACTGGAGTCAGAGTTTAGTGAAAATAAGTGTATAATTAAAGATTTATATAATTGACTCTACTGCCTGTTAACTCTGCCTCAGCATCCAATGTTATGTCCTCTGCTAAGTATGACACGAAAATGACTCAATATATATAATAAATAGCCTGTTCACCAACACTTAATTTTTTCAGTTTGCAGATTAAATCACTAAGACAGATTTATGTCTCTCAAAACACCTAGCATTAAAAACCAGACATTTGGAGGTTGTTTTAACCCCACACTACACTAATTTTACATATTTTAGCAGCACCACATGTGTGTGAGACTTTCAAAAAAACACATTAACACAAAACCAAAGGAATAACTGCTATCCTAACTGACAAGACCTGTTCTAGAATGCATGGGAATACTGAAAACCACCCGTGTCTGTGTTTTTTCATGGACTAGCAGAAATCAACACTACAAAGTCACATATGTTTTGAAGCTTCAGGAGGTTTCTTAACTTACACTGAGGAGCTATCAAATGTTTCACTGATACACTCTTGGACGCAGACTTTGAGAGTACTTCTGAAAATAACCTCTATGCTTAACCAAGGCTCCTTAAACTTTTAAATGCAGACTGTTAAATACTTTTTTCTTTCCTTATGTTCCTTTCTTTTCTAAGTGTCCTCTTGTGGACACTAATAATTTTGCCTGGAGTCCTAACAAAACCATCTACTGGACATCCTACAGGAACTGAGGTTTTACAGCTGTTCTACATGAAGGTAGGTGCTCATTTGCCCTATATACAAAGACTTTTCACTTAGCCAATAACAGTTTTTCATAGCAAATTCTTCAACAGAATGCAGTATTGCTATAGAAAACTGCAATTCAGAGAATCAAAAAAACCCACAGAAAAGGAAGTCTCACTGAAGTTGCAGCTAAAGGAAATAATAAAAACTCCAACTTTAGACTTTCACTTTAAATTGTGCCTTCAAGACATTTACATTAATTAATCGTGAAACTGATAAGCAGGCCTTTTTATTTCACAAAGGTTGATTGACTGAAAAGCTTTTAAAGCCACATTTACAGTGAATTTTGGGCAAAGCTGGGGAAAAAAAATCAAAAGTGATTGATTCCTCTGCTAAAGGGACTGCCAAAAAGAAGCTGATTTTCAGAAAGATGCAATTCAGTGAATATTCCAAAAAAATGGATCAAAGGTAGGCTCCACTGGTCTTAGGAAAACTCAGATGAGTTTCCAAGCAGGAGCAAGTTCTCCATCTGCAAAATATGTAAAAACTCATTGTGAAAACATTGTAGCGTGACAGAAAATGGGCAAGGACAGATATGAAACTAAAATCAGTACAAGATAGATTTGGTAGTGTTAGGTTAACAGTCAAACTCAATGATCTTAAGGATTCTTTCCAACCTAAAAGATTCTGTGGCTCTCAAATGATCTGAGTGAAAAACCAACTGCTTTAAGCTAAATAAGTAATTGATGCCCTTTGATATCAGGACCTAACTAAAGGTTTAAAACACTGCTGGACCATGCAATTTGAAAAGCTTTTTTCTTTTATAAATAGTACTTTCCTAATAGATGTTTTCTTGCTTTCTCAGAATTTTCTGCATCTGTGTGAATCTTTGAGTGTCTCAAATTTCCTGAAAAAAAACCAATTCTCAGCAAAGAGCAGGCAATCTCTTGAATTCAGGTGCAAAGTTCTGAGCACTCCAAGATTCCTCCAATCTCAATGGTTACACCTCTGGTCAAGAGATCGCTACCCTACCAACATCTTTTCCACTGTTAGATTCCAAAATACTTTAATTATTGTCCTTATTTTAGAAATGAACTAAATAAACACAGATCTCAAGTTACTAACTTACACAGCTGTAAGTAGGGAACCTAGCCTCACCCATGCTTTTGCTACAAAATGCCACTTGTCCCTTAGGTACAGATAAAAACTGAGTATCACCCCTTCCCTTTCTCCTCCCCCCTACCTCTTCATCTGGCTTTTCTTTCTTGCTGCCTTCTCTCTATATGCAAGATACTTTTATGATTAAGACTGCTAATTACATTTTATGCACATGAATTATGCTCCTGTGAAAAATAAATACGGGGTTTTTAGAGGTCTTGATTCCTTTAGGCATCTTTCGATTCTTTGGCAGAGAAGCTTCACATTCTGTTGCTTCAGAACTTCAGCAAGTACCATCCACGTGGTGCAGTTTACTGCATGATAGTAGTACAATGTGTGATGGTAAAGCTCAAGGATTGCTACAGCCACACTGAGCAACTTTCCCTGTAAGTTCCTCAATTAATGATTTCTTTGCTCAGTTTGTATAAGTGTTCCCATTGCTTTAGTTTGGTCACCCTCCTCATATTATTCCAGATGTCTCCATATTCCCTTGGCTTTTCAAAATTTGAAAACCAACTTAGGTAAGAATACTAAAGAAATTATCATCTAAAATGGAGAAAATTACGCAATATGAGCATATGAAAAACAATCTTCCATGGTCTTCCAGAACCAGACAACAGCCATTATTGAAGAGAGAAAAAAAAGAATCTGCTACTCCACTTTGACATTTTCAGTTATTAAACTTACTTCTCCCATCAGTTTGTGAACTTTCAGGGACACGGGCTGTTCAGGTAAAGCAGCAGATCCCAAGCTTTATCACTGATGCCTCCCTTTGCAGCCCAATAACCTAATTTTCAGTTGCAAGTCTTACTACTTCTTCAATCAAATTTATGTATGCTTTTCATCACATCTGGTATTGCAGTCCCTCATTTGGAGTTGCTAACGTAATGCACTCAATGTCAGGTGCATGCACGTCTTTAGATTTCCTTTTCACAAGAAAACAGCTTCAAATAAATGAAAAAGTCTTACAGACTATGCTTTTAAGACCATATGGAAATGGTGGTAGTGCCTAGAAGTTTTATACTCTTGCAAGAGGCAACACAAGGAGTCAGCTTACACACAGAAAATTCATCTGGACTTGGGCTATGGTTCACAGAACTCCAGAAACACATGAGACACATTTGGGTTCAGTATTGTGAAGCCATTAGCACTTCCAGCTCAGATCACAAGATCAGTGTGGAAACAAACAGGCAGCTTAGTGCAGAACCACCCTGGATGTGCAAGAGCCACCATGGATCCCCAATTACTAAGCCCTGCTGGATCTCTGCAGTCCTCCTTATGTGCTTCTGCAGTATCTTCTCTGCTGAGTACCTCAGACTTCTTCTAGTATCTATGTAACCCAACTTCTATCCTCAGTGCATCAGATAATGATGAACTGCCTACATAAGGAAAATGGAAATATACTTTGAAACTTTCATTTAGAATGCAATATGCAATATGTGTTTGGACTCTTAAAGTAACTGGTCTTGTTACTCTGTTATTATAATATGTAGGCACATGCTGCTGTGTGAATAACTTCAGAACATTTCAGAGAATCGTATCATAGAATCATAGCATACCAGATTGGAAGGGACCTCAAGGATCATCTAGACCAACCTCTCAAGGTAAAAGTGTAGTTTAAATGAGATGAGTCAGCACCCTGTCAAGCTGACTCTTAAAATTGACCAACGTAGGGGAATTCACCACTTCCCCTGGCAGGTTGTTCCAATGTCTGATTGATCTCATGGTAAAAAGGTTTCTCCTGGAGTTCAATTGAAATCTCTCCAGAAGCAACTTGTGTCCATTACCCCTCGTTTTTTCCATGTGACTCCTTGTGAAAAGAGAGTCTCATGAAACATTTATAGCTTCTGATATCCCATGCCACTTCAAACTTTATAAGGGAACCAGAGAATATTATTATTTTTGGTAAAAAATAGAAATAAGACTTGAAAAAACCAAGAAGATGCTTTCTACTAAGCAAAAAGGTTAGCTTTTGGTCGATGAAAATTTGCATTAAGAAATTAAAAAAGATGAAGAATGAAATGAATGTAGAAGTGAATGGAGAATGCTTTAAAAAAGTACAAAACCCAAAATATTTTCAATTACCAGCATGATGTGTTTTACCAAGAGGTTCAAGTTTTCGAAGTCTAAGTCTGGGAGTTCTCCAGCCAACTAAAGGAAAACAAAGACAGTCAAAACACGCCATGACTGCACTTGATTCTGGTGAAATCTATAGAAGCCAGTTCTCTTTCGGAGAAATCAAAGCATTTAGAAATGCCAGAAGTATGTAACATATTGTATACATGGTGAATAATGATAAAATACCTTAAAAATAAACCGATTTACCCTTAAAAATATTGATATTTTTAATCACTTTTTCATCAGTAAGTAGTCAAGTGTCTGACTTTTTTTTGTGAAAGCAATAATATCTTCCCCTCCAAGGAATGGATCAAGTCAGTATTACTGAAAGTTCATATCATGAAGTGGGAAACTGCATCAAATACTTCCTGGAGCATAACATTTAGTCGCATATCTCTGTATGAAGACCATTCCAGTTTCATCATTCACAAGTGAATATTTTAAAGTCTTAATAACCAAAAACTGAGACATCAATTATTGATTGTTAGTGCATTTACCTGATAGAAGAGCTGGTGGTGGCATAGTACTTTTGGGAACAGCATCTCCTGTATTAACAGGTTCTACTCTGTGGCCTCTTCTTAATTTTAGTTTTTTACTTTTTTTCTTACTGTTATCTATATCAAACAGAAATAAGCAGTACACATCATATAGTTATATTCAGAGAATATGTTAGATCATCTTTTAATACAATTGTCAGGGTGAGATGCATCAGTATTTTCAGTTCAAACTTATACACAAAACCATATGGAATATGAAATTTACACAACATTTTGCTATAGAAAATAAAATATAAGCATAAAATATATGTAAAGATCATGTTTTAATAAAGAAATTCAATTCAGCTTGGTACTGATGGAAAGTGAACCACATATTTGATTATGATAAAAATTAACCTAGTTTCAGCTACACTATCAGTCACATCCGCAAAAATGCACTTTTTCGAAGCAGATTTTCCCATACAATAACCTAATGGTGCATTTTATGTTTTCAGTAGACTAAATTGACGTGTAGTATCATGAAAAATAATACAGAGACAGGGAAGAACTGTGTGAAAAATAACATTAAATGACACACTAAAACGAAGCAGTTTTACCTGAGTCAAGGCATTCTGAGGCTTGCTGTTCATTCTCTCCATGTTGCAGAAGCTGTGTAGTTGTAGAATTGCATGTTTCTAGACTACTATCATTTGTATTCTGGCTACTGCTACTTGATAAGTGCTGAGCATCCACTTGTTCCTGCTCGGTTTGTGATCTCAAGACAATCGTAGCCTTTTCACTCTCCAACCTTTGCCTCTTATTTTCCTTTTCAATTTGTTTTTCATTCTAACGAAAAGTAAAAGATTTTTTAACAACTTCTAATGCTATGAACTGACTATTAAGACAGGAAGGTTATTTTAAAACTCAAAATATTCCTAAAAGTATTTTCTATGCTAGATGGGGGACAGAAAAATATTTTCAAATGGGTGAAGAAATTAAATTCCAATATTCTGTCCAGAGAAAGGTGGTGGGGAGGAAAAGAAAAAGAAAGAACAACAAAATTAATTGTCTTTAGGATAATAATAGTTTTTCTTGCTTTCTTTTTGGTCACATGTCAAAATATGCTAGCTATATAACATCAACCATCCTGAGCAAAGGGTTAGAAAACTCCTAATTTCTTCCTCTTCACTTACCTTTTGAGTTTGTCTTTTTAAAAATATTTTAGTTAAAGCAAAACATACATGCACAGAGTTTTAAGTATCCAGAAAGTGCTACCATGATTTGGTCAAATACCAATTGTGTCATGCAGACTCAATGATAGGCTGTTTCATATATCACTAAATCACCATCGCTGCAATATTTGTGACTATACCCTTCTCTTCTTACTCTGCATATTATTATAAAGTGCTGATTTTACAGGATATATGGATATTGGTGCTTTTGTCCTGGAGAGAAGCAAATGTTTGAGTTACTCGCTGGAAAAGTCTCTGAGAGCTTATGTGTTTCTTGAGATGATGTTATCTCAAGGCAACTGAATAAAAAAATATGTTACAATAAATAAGAACAACCTGAACTCAGAAACAAAGGTTAAGGAAACTATACATTAATATGCTTTTCATATTTCAAAGCTAAGAAAACTTCTCAGTTCTGTCAGTTTTCAACAGAAAACAGGTTATGCTCAGAAACTGAAACAGTTGAAGTAGTCAGGGAGATTTTATACGACTCACTACATCACTAATGCACTTTGCATGAAACTAATAGACCTTGAATATTTTCCACTCCTGAATATCCAATAGTTTCAGTAGGAAATGTGTTCAGTCACCTGTTTACAATACCTTTATTTTACTCTGTCTACAAAACTTTTTGTCTCTGACTCGATAATAGTGGATTTTCTTAACATTAAAGCATTAATTCAATGCACACAAAACAAGATTGCCAAGTTTTGAAAAAAATAAATAAAATAATGCTGAGTAGACAGATTTAGAACAATTCTTTTAAATGAACCATTTTTCTTATTACCTCTCAGACATTTGTTAGTGGTAGGTCTAAAACGATCCAGATTTCCACATATTCTCATACCTCAGAAATTACAGCAGCTATAGGCTGGAAGGGGTTTTCTGATTTCCCAGGCTCAGGGTCTTCCTCATCAGGTACATTTCTTCCTTCTTTCCCTTTGTAGTTGTTGGGTTTATGTTGATTTTGTTTTAGTGTTTTGGGGATTTGTTGTTGTTGTTTTTTGTTGGGTTTTTTTTTTTCAGAGGAGGGAGGGAGAAAGGGGAAATGAACAGAGAATTATGAAGAAGCCAAGCCATACATTTTACATTACAGAGAACACTTATTAGGTCACCTAACTCCTCCAATTTATGCCAGTTGATTTTTACACTATGCTTCTCTGTTTTGCAAAACATTCTACAGCAATCAGAATGACAGGCTGCTTTGTGCCAGAATGGGAGCACACCACTTCAGGAAGTGGAAGCAGTTTCTGAGGACAGGATATATGACATATATGTAGTAACAATTAGGGAATCATATTTGCTTAACCCAGACCCGGAAAAGTTCAGAAAGACATAATCCTCAGTATACTGCTGTTGCACCAGCACTAGTTATTTTTAAAGTACCAGATCTCTGTGTAAGAAACATTAAATTACTATTAAATAATATATCACTAATAAAGTATATGTTCATCAAACACTTTTCATCAATTGATCTGGTAGTACTTGCTCATAGGAAGTCACCTACAACAAACAACTCAAGAAGGACATTGAGTTGCTAGAACATGTCCAGAGACAGGCAACAAAGCTGGTGAAGGGTCTGGAGCACAAGTCTTATGAGGAGCTGCTGAGGGAACTGAGGTTGTTTAGTCTGGAGAAGAGGAGACTGAGGGGAGGAGACCTTATCACTCTCTACAACTCCCCGAAAGGAGGTTGTAGTGAGGTGGGTGTTGGTCTCTTCTCCCGTGTAACTAGTGATAGGATGAGAAGAAATGGCCTCAAGTTGCACCAGAGCAGGGTTTGTTTGGGTATTAGGAAAAATGTCTTGACTGAAAGAGTGGTCAAACACAGGAACAGGCTGCCTAGAGAAGTGATGGAGTCACCATCCCTGGAGGTGTTCAGAAACATGTAGATGTGACACTTTGGGACATGGTTTAATGGGCATGGTGGTGCTGGGTTGACCATTGGACCTGATGATCTTAGAGGTTTTTTCCAGCCGTAATGATTCTGTGATTCTACTTTACAGCTACAAGTACTGAGAGAGAAGAGGCACAGATGGGAGTGAAAAGGAGGTCACCGATCTACCCATGAAACCATGCTACTTGGAAGGAATGGCCATTACTGTATTAAAACTTATCAGGACTACTTCCCTCTGGTTTTCCATTTGGAACAAGATAATTTCTACTAACAAACTGTGGAAGAAGTCTGCTTTGAGAAAACATTCAGGAAAGCAAATATGAATGAAAAGCATCTGGGGATTTACTAAAACACAAAATGAAACAGAATTACACTTGAATCAAGAATAACCTGTTTCTTACAGTAAGAAACTGATTTTATACAAAACAGCAAAATAAGAATTATCATAGAATCATAGAACCTGTTGGGTTGGAAGGGACCTTTGAAGATCATCCAGTCCAACTCCCCTACAGTAAGCAGGGTCAGTGTTCCTAGATCAGGTTGCTCAGAGCCCCATCAAGCCTGACCTTGAATATCTCCAGGGATGGGGCCTCCACTACCTCACTGGACAACCTATTCCAGTGTTTCACCACCCTCATAGTGAAGAATTTCTTCCTAATGTCTAATCTAAATCTACCCTCTTTCAGTTTAAAGCCATTACTCCTTGTCCTATCACTACTTGCCCTTGTAAACAGTCCCTCCCTAGCTTTCTTGTAAGCCCCCTTCAGGTTCTGGAAGGCCGCAATAAGGTCTCCCAGCAGCTTTCTCCAAGCAGATCAACCCCAACTCTCTCAGCCTGTCCTCGTAGGGGAGGTGTTCCAGCCCTCTGATCATTTTTGTGGCCCTTCTCTGGACCCGCTCCAACAGTTCCATGTCCTTCCTGTACTGAGTGCTCCAGAGCTGGACACAGCACTTTAGGTGAGGTCTCACCAGAGCAGAGCAGAGGGGCAGAATCACCTCCCTCGCCCTGCTGGCCACACTTCTTTTGATGCAGCCCAGGATGCGGTTGGCCTTCTGGGCTGCAGATGCACATTGATGGCTCATGTCCAGCTTTTCATTCACCAGTACCCGCAAGTCCTTTTCCGTAGGGGTCCTACTGATAGCCTCCTGTGAGGTTATATTAGCAAGGACTAATTTATTCCACAACTACCTTGCAATTCTTATTCATGGTACATTTCCAGCACAGAGTGAATAAAATAGAGAGGGTGAACTAGGCAAAAACTTGTAGGTCCTTATTTTTAATATGGAGGCTCTTCACCTGTAAGCTTTAAAACCTTGATAGCTTGGCTCCCACAAGCTCTGTGTACAGGAATGAATCAAGCCTCTTAGAGAAAGGGAGGAAGGGAAGGAAGGAGAAATTACAGAGAAAATACCTTTCTTCTCGCATCCTTCTTACTCGCTCAGCTCGTTCTAGTTTCTTTTCTTCTTCATATGCTTTTTGTTCTGTAGTGTCTCTTTGGATGCGCTCATGTAAGTCATCAAAATCTTTTGCTATGGTATGTAGAAGCCAATGTAAACCCTTTTTAATAGATTTATCAATTTTTTTCCCATAGCCCATGACAGCTGAGCAAGGTTCCTGTAAATACAGGGAGAAGGAGGGGAAAATTATTACAGTTCAGATCATATTCTCTGACTGAAAACAAGAAATCAGTCAAACAACTCCTGTTTACTCTGAAGCTTGCAAAACACTGAGAAGTATGGAAAATAAATGTGCATAAAGGCATTCTATAAATTTAGGAAATTTTTTTGCCAAGATATACATCACATTGGTTCTAGGAAATTTCACTATTTCCAGTGCTTTTCCAAAAAAATACTAGAATACTGCACAGAAAAACATTTGCATGTCTATCTCTAAATAGATACGTATACACACCTATTACATATACACACAACAGTTACATATACACCTAGTGAGTATATGCATATTTACACACCTGTTTCTACAGACATCCATACCTATGCATCTATGTAGAGATATAATTTATCAATGTCAAATATGTATGTTCTGTTTTGCTGCTGCTTTATAATAGCATGTGTTATATTTATCTAGTGAAATGGAAAAAATGAGATGCAGGAGAATCAGGTTAGCTTGCGTTAATGAAATAAATGTTAGACTTTATTAATATGTACCTATGGGATAAATAAAATCCAGCATGAATTTGTCAGAAAAACTGTCAAACCAGTTCAGTTTTTTAGACCAGAGCAGATATTGTAAACAGAGGTGCTTGACTGGAGTTAAACTCTTGTCACTATGTTCTCATCACCAAGCAAGAGAAACTTAATCTAAGCAAATCTATTAGAAGATGGGTGCAAACCCCATCGTTACGTTAGTTTGGAATACTTTATCTAGCTTGGATGCAACACTTCAAAGACATGGATTGACTGGAAGGAATCAAGAGGAACAGAGTGAGAAAAATCAGACCAAATAGGTTATGAACACACATCTGGTAAGAAAACATCAAAGGAAAAGGAGTGATTCTACTTTTGAGATTAAAAAGCTTCAAGGAGATGTGATAACAGCCTTCAAAAACATAAAGCATAACTGCAAAATAGGAAAAGAATAATTTGCTCTTCATGTTCATAGTCAGGAGGACAAGTATAATTGGGTTTAATTGGAATAAAAACGATATGGCTTGATTCTAGCTTAGAACATGGAAAATGACTGGATGGCTCGTAACGATCTCTTCAGAACTGTTTTACAGAATGTTTTGGAGCACTGTATGGGTCTCTTAAACTGTTCTCTGAATAACACTTGAATAGGTCCAGCTATGTACTTTACATGAAGAAATTATATTTCACACTGATTGTGTTCAGGATTTGTGTTCATGAAAGAAGAAAGATTAAAGAAAACTAACTCCCCAACATCAAAATCTAAAAAACCCCCTCTGTGTTCTCTCTCCATCTGACAAGCATTTAGATGGCACCATACTTAGGTATGGTATGTACTATTTGCAACAGAAAAAAATAATTCTGACCTGTTATGTCCCCCAGAGTGCCAAATCTTGTTTGCCTTTTAATACACTCCTACTTAGTCTAAATTAAGGCTCAAATATGACTGTTGTTCACTATGGAGCACTACAATATTCTCTAGCAGATCCTAATCAATGAGAAGATGTATAGCCAGTAACATCTTGTTTCTCCGAGAAAATGAAGATAAAACAACAGAGAGCACTGGGGCAATTTTCTTCTAGGTTTGCACAAAGATTATTGTGACTATAGTTCAGTTAAAAAATACAAAAATTTAGAAATACAGAATACACAAACATATAAAAAGAAAACAGTGAAGGTCACTCTCACCGACATTGTGTGACATAAAAGAAAAAGAACAAGCAATAGTTTTTTTGGTCCTTGCCTAATTTTATTTAAATCTTGTTTCATAGTGTCCCTGTTCAAATTCACCCCATGGGTCATCATACTGAAATACATTGGGACCTTTAATGCACCTAGTAAAGAAGCTGCCCATTTGAGTAGATAAGACTCTCAGCTGCTTTCAGCTAAGATGATTTAAGAGTATGTGATCCAGTTTCTTTGTTGATTGGACCCAAGATATAAATTGAGAATGAGAACAGCATTTTATTGGAATGTGTCATAAATTAAGTAATTCTAAAATATTGGAAAAAAATACACTAGAATATTTCCAGTTTTTTATATTGACAATGCTTTGCAAGGAAATATTTTTGCCACAGAAGTCCCTCAGAAAAAACTGTGAACTTGCAATTTTTGTTATGATTGCTATATGCGTAGTGCAAAATCCACTAACTTAAAAGCTCTCAAAGAGTCATGACATAATGAACATAGCTATGCCCTTCTGTAACCTAACTTTCTTGTGAAAACAATAGCAATATGTACTCCTCTGAATTTTGCGACTCTCACTAAAGAATTAAGTCTTTTTAAATTTTTAAAACCCAAATACCAGAGAGAAATAGTTTTGCAAAATTGCTTTTCTATTTTGGTTAATAACAGCATAACACTCATTATTTTTTAAAACGTTTCTTATTGCAGTTAGGAAAAGATTATATAAGTGAAGCCCACAGATAGTTAACTAACGAACTAGTTGATCAAAAGAAAGGCTTAATAAAAACTCCAAGGACTAAAGATTAGGATAAATTATTCAAAATATTGACCAATATTAAGTAGGCTTCACATAGATTTCTGGTTTTTTTTCTTCACCTGCCTTTTTTATTTATTTTTTTTTAACATGACTGTGAATACTTCATCTGAAATGTAGACATTTTAGAACAGACATTAACTAGATCTAACAACGTTCTTTGATGACTACTGTGCTGGAAATTAGATGCACTAGGAATTAGATTAAGTTCTTACTGTTTGCCAGATGGTAACTCACACTAAACGATGGTTTTAGCTATGAACAGAAATGAGACAAACATCACATGTGAACAGTGGTCCTTCTTGAATGTCAACGCAAGCAAATTCAATTTCCTGCTTCTTTTTGAAAAAGGCAGAATACTAAACTTGCTGCCCAATTGAACAAATTTTAAACTCTATGAGCAATTAATTTTTATTACATGGTTTCAGAGCGGACCAGCAGGTACACTTTGAGAGCCTTGTTATAAAGATTTCTTCAACATATCCATAAGCAGAACGTCAAGGTGAACAGCAGAACTTCTTGTGAAACAGAAACACGTACTGTATCTTTGCTCGGATTGCAGGGTCCTAGTTTCAGTTTTACACTATGTGGCACAATCCTCCTCCTTATTGCAAGCATTACATAAATATTAGAAAATGAAGCATCTTAAAATACACTTACAATTTGACATAGACACTTGTGTTCATTGACAAGCTTTTCCAGAGATAAGGCTTCAATTACATCTGCTTCTGACAGAGCTCCTTCTCTGTCCTGCTTATTTGCCAGCCTACAGAAAAAAGATCACATGAAACAGTTGCAACCTGACATAAGAAAATCTCACAGCTCCAAAAGCTAAAGTTGTGACAAAAGTAGGAAGCAGGGGAAGAAAGAGAAAGTAAAGAGAAAATGTCTGGTTTCAGATTTAATTCTTCTTTCTACTTAATGAACATATTAGTCCATGCACTATATTTAACAGATACTAGTATTAAATAATTACTAAGCACCCATAGACAAAGCAATTTTATTTTATAGCTAGGAAGATGGATGTAAAAGACAACCAATCTACATCTAAAGCTACACAGCACAATCTGTTGGAGTCTATGAATCAAAGTTCAGAACTTTGCAACTTTCCAAACCATGTGCACTTCCCACATAATACTGCTTCATGCCTAAAGACAGGTTAAAAGAGCTGGGGTTGTTCAGCCTGAAGAAGAGAAGGCTCCGGGGAGATCTTATAGCAGCCTTCCAATATCTGAAGGGGGCCGACAAGAAAGCTGGGGAGGGACTGTTTACAAGGGCATGTCATGACAGGACAAGGAGGAATAGCTTCAAACAGGAAGAAGACAGATCTGGATTGGACATTAGGAAGAAATTTTTCACTACAAGGGTGGTGAGACACTGGCACAGGTTGACTAGGGAAGTTGAGGATGCCCCCTCCCTGGAGGTGTTCAAGGCCAGGTTGGACAGGGCTTTGGGCCCTGTCACTAGCAGAGGGGTTGGACTGGATGATCTTTAAGGTCCCTTCCAACACAAACCATTCTGTGATTCTATGATGATCACCTTGGGTCTGCCTGCTATCCAGAATTTCTCTCCAAATCCAAACAACTTGATCTGTAATGTTTTGAACCTGCTCTTTTTAAGTAAAATTCAAGGCTTGGAGGGAGGAACTTGAATGAATAGCACTAAAAACCATACTTTGTTATTAAACAGAAGAAAGAAAAAAAAAAGATATATGAAACACAGCTTACAAAATAAGTATTCTGTAAGATGAAGTGTCATCATTGTCTTATTTCTTAGACATATGGTAGCTAAGAAGACTCCAGAAGAAAAGCATCTTAATTTTTTTGATGGACCATTTTTCTTTATCAGATTTGTCTTCCACATACTCCATAATTGCATCCAATCCATAACTTGACTATCCTCAAGATCTTGATTTCTCGATTAAAATTGATTTAAATTGGTCAACATCCAAGAAGGCAGCATGGATTACAGGCATCATGATCATGCCTCACTTCTTTAGGAAAATAGCTAAAATGCAACATATACTTATACTAGTAAATGTCTTCTATGCAGAAAGAGATAAATTGTCAGAGGCAAAGGAAATGTGTACAAGAAGAAATGTGTAGAAAATGTCAGAAAAAGATTAACAAGGTAACTTGACCTAAGTGTTTAGGAATGTGTTAGATGAGCAGCTGTATCCCCTAAGAAGAAACTTTAAAAAGTAAACTTGCTATCACGTTGGTCAATAGTTTTCTGAGTTCATTTACAAGCAGATTTTAGTTACAAATGGAGACTTTTAGATAGAAATCCAAAATATATATTTAAACAGACAAACAAGAACAAAAAGAGACAAACACGTATGAAATAATTCATGTTTCTTGAGGGTCTGAGAGTTGTATTAAGAATAAGCAAAACTTTACAAAGGGGTCAAGTCAAAAAAGTGTTGTTGCATAAAAACTGTTGGTGACAATATTGTATACAGTCTTTCCTCTTCCGTTACCTGCTTTTAATGAAAAGCTAGTATGGTAAATCTCTAGGAAGTGTGAAAATATATTAAATAATATTTCACTAGCAGCAGACTATTCCTGTTCAAAGGTACTATTTTTTCAGCATGACAACTGATGCAGTTTGCCTTGAACCAGCGTAGATCATTTTGTAATATAAGCACACAATGCAATCTAATTTTAATGTTGTTCTGAAATTCAGCAACCCTTCCCTTGCAAGAGAACTTTGATTCAGCTTTCTGGATAGAAGCACAAATATTTGGCTTCCATTAATGTAATGGCAGATTGTTTTGGAAACAGATATAGCCTTTCTTCTGAAATCTCAAGTCATCATCAAATGACTTTTAAGGAATGTTAGGTCAAGGCTTGTACTTCAGATTTATCAAACTCCTTGCAAGGAAGGAACAATGGCAGGTAGGAATTCACTCCATAGTTAGCAGAACGTGTCAGTACCTTGGTTTGATCTAAGAATGCATTCCTTCCCGTTTTGCAGATTTGCAGTATTACAGCCTTAGTTCTTAATGACTTTACTTCCAAAAGAGTTTTTAACCTCAAAGAGACACTGAAAGAGAAAGCTGCATTGGATCTACAGCTGAAAAAGCCATTTCTTGTCACCGTTAACCTCATACGCTATGACTCATTACCTAATCTTTCCTTTCAGATAGAGCTTATGAAGACAGCTTCTCAAAGATCCATCCTCTCTTCATCAGTCTTAAGAACTATTTGCAGTCCAAAAGGTTCACATACCTATTATCAACTTGGGGATAAAAACCCTTACATCCTACTGTTGATCAACTTTGCTGATTTGCCTGCAGAGCTAGAAAGAGCACAAGGCTTTTCCCACACCTACCCTGCTTTGATAATCCATTCCCATTTCTCAACTAAGAGAGTAACTCTACAGTACTTTGTATTCTACATGGCTTACTGCGGAGATTCCCTAACTGTTGTTCAATGCATATAAAGAAGCTAAGACATTTTCAATATGCTTATGATACTCTGACACTACTGATTCTCACCAACCAACTAGGACAAGTAACGTCCTCTCAGTATTTTGCTGTGAAACAGGGCCAAAGCTAAACCAGTGAAAAAAGAAAGCTATGGAAAGTAATTAAGAGACTAGAAACAATTATCACCACTTTTTTCATTTTAACCTATCTTTGTCACAATCTGAAAATCTTATTGCACTGCCCCTAGTCTCAAAAAGTATTCCTCAGCAGTGCTGTCAAATCCGATCTAGATCTAACTGAAGAAAATATTTTTGAACACAGACTGTGTTGCCACAGCCTATTCCCTTCTCACCTCAAGATTAAGTAACTGCAATCTTTACTATGTTATTGGATTGCACATTCTACAAATCACAGCTGAAGCAGAACGAAATGTTGGTAAGCTGCATAGCCCAGCATGAGTGTGATGCTAATGTCCTATGACTTGCAGTAGCTGCTGATTTTTAACCTCCAATATCTCAAAAGGTAAAAGATTTGTCTTTCTGGTCAATTAGCTTCCATTTTCTCCACAGCACTCCTGTTGCAATACTGACTGTATTCAAAAAAATACAGCTGAGGTGCTGTATCTGGAAAAGTAGCATGTCTCCACCTTCTGCTCCCTGACAACTGAAATGGTTTAGCACAGGTCAAACATTTCCAGCTGCATGCCCCTGTCTAACTTCAGCCTTTAGGTCACAAACTTATAAATGTAATTAAAACATTTTTATGGTACTGACTGTGATATAGGATATTATTATGCTAGATTTTCCCCCCTTTCAAGTAAATGTATGAGTGACCTAGCCTTGCTTCCTTTTTCCTTCATATTTCAGTGTAGAAGAAAGCAATCCCTGCACTTACACTTGTGCTTCATAGGTAGGCAGTGCTCCACTTGCAGCTTACAAGGCATCTCTCTAGGGAGGGAGCTGCTCCTAAACACTTCCTGCTCCTGGGCAGCTCCAGCAGTGATCCGCCTCTCAGCAAGGCTGGGTCTCAAACAGGCAGAACCAGATTCCCCAAGCAGAAAGCAATCAATTTGCCTGTCTACTGCAGTTGCAGAAGTTGGCTTCTCTCACACACCACTGCTCCTGAAGATGAACCCTTGGACAATTATTTAAGAACTCGAAGCAGAAGGCATGCAGAAAATATTTAATGGAACGCCACTCAAGACGTATTACTTAGGCAAATATTGGAAACAATGTTTTTCAGATTATACTGAAGCTTACCCTCAGGAGTTCCTCTGTAAAGGATAAAACAGAAAGCCACCAGCACGAGATCAAAAGGTAAAGACTTTTACTTAATCTTTATAAAGTTGCAAATCTCAGAAAAAGGCTGCGTGTTGCGGTTTAGAGTGGAAAAGTGCCTAAGTGTCAAGAAATACAAATAATGGATGCCTGCCCTACAAAGAATTGGATATTTCTCTGGGTGAATATAGTCTCAGAGCTCTGCCACTCATGCACAAGAATGCTAGGTTTTGAGGTACGTTTTATGCACAAAACTTCCTTCTTTAGAGAATACATCAGAGCTACCTTAAAGGCTAGACCTTGATTTTAATTTTCCAAGTCAGTAGAACTTCATATATAGCAATTTTTCATGTTTAAAAAGCTGTAGGAGGTATATATCAAAACCATACCTGAAAACACAGGAGAGTGTCTGTTGGTTTATCACATTAAGTTTGCTGAGTGAGAAGCTTTCATATATAAAATCATGCTTGGCTTATTTCAATTTTACATCAAGTACATTTGAAACCTTCTTACAGTAACAAACCTAGTTCACGCCAGCCAGAAACAAAGAAAGGATAGGCACCAACTGCTTTTATATCAAGTAGGATTTTTTAAGCAACTAGAGAGCTTTTGAACTTTAAGAGTCATGAGAAACAATGTGGAAAGGGAGTGTATGTGTGCATTGGCACAACTGACATCTGGTCAGTTAACAATATTTCTCTTAGAAGCCAGAAGACATGCCAGAGAAAAACAAAGTCTGAATGCAAACTATGTGCGTTCCCCGACCTGTTTCCAAAAGTGTAATGTACTGAGCAAAGAGAAAACAGAAAAAAAAAATTAAAAATCAGTACTAAAGTTTACTTTACAATCCAAAACATTTTGTGAAAAAAAAAATCAGTATAAAAAGGACACATTTATATCTCACTTTCATCAAAAATCCAAGAAGTGTTATAGAAAAGGTTTATTTGAGAAGAGGATGTTTTGGGTGAAGGTATGTGCATGCCTGTGTGTTTCTTTTCTAGTTGTGCAAACTTGGAGGCTTGTTTTTTTAAAATACTCTTACTTTCCAACTTACACATT